CGCACCGCCTGGCAGGACCGCATGCTATGGACAGACAGACAGTGTTTACACTTCCAGACAAACAAACAGGATATATAGAGAGAAGGTTGTAAATAAGGGATTTTTATTAGTGGAAGAAAAGGACCACCGCTCTTGAGGGAACACTTCAGAACGAGAAAGTCAGCTGCTATCCATTACCACCAACTTCCCAGCTACCTGCTAAGCAAAACCACCAGCAAGGCCCTCCCCGGCTCAAGGATTCATGGGCCCAGACCTACCAAAGCAAAGAGCAAGACCTGGCTCTACAGGGAACAGGATCCGGCCCCTCCGTGGCTCTCGACAACTAAAGCGGAGATAAAAGACTGTTGATGCGCTGACAGCAATTTATGATCTGCAAAGATCTGGGTTCAGGATCACCAACATCAGCCCCACCACCACCCTCATGCCAAAATCCATCCCTTTGAAATGAGGGGGAAGCATGGAGGAGGGAAAAATGCATAAACGGGAATGTTCAACAGAAAAAAATCATCATTTATCTAAAAAGAATAGAAATAAACAAAATGCTTTTAAACAAAATCACAAAATATACAAATAAATCTGGTACAAAATAAATAGGAAAGATTGGAAATCTACAACAAAATTGGAATAATTATAAAATTCATTTGTATGACAATCAGTATATGAAACGTATACACTTCATTCATGGATTTCAGTTGTGCTTATTCAGGTCTATGTACACAATTGGAAATACTGTAGTCAGAATACTACAACTCTGAAAACCCGAGGTAATGTACAATATGATACAATTAGCAAAGACCATATACGATGGAAAATAAGACACCGTGAAGAGACCTGGGACTGGCAGCGTAACCTAGAGAAGCTGGCTGGGGTCACATAGCCACGGAAGCGCGTTTTAAAGGGTGAAGTGCAAAGCTTCTGAACAGAGGGCAAAAATAAAGGTTTCACGACTGGAAGTCAGGAGAAGAATCTGTGCAGACTTCGATATACATACAGGTTTTACAGGAAAGGATTAAATATAGGAGAAAGGTTTGGTTTTAGAGACTGCTGGTTGCAGAGAACCAGCTGTTCATGGCTTCCACGTGACACAGGGACGTATTCTCAAGTATTTGCATTTTCAGATTCAATGTATTTGGCATCTAGACGTCTGCCATGTGATTCAGTTATCGAGCTTTGATCTTCAGCTGTGTGTGTTGGGGGGGAAAAAAAAAATATATATATATATATATATATACACACACACACACACACACACAACAGCCTTGCGGTTCCCCCCAGCAGGGCCCACCCCTAACCTGCTTGTGAGCCACCTTCCTGCCTGGCAGCTCGGAGAACATGGATAAAACATGATCGGGTTGTTGGCGCTAGGGGTCCTGATGGCTTTCCGCTCTCCAGATTTCGCACCAAGTCTGCAGGGAAGGCAGAGGAAAGCGAGTCCTTGAGCAACATCTCCTACCCTCCTCAGTAGCTTAGCGCGAGGAGTGAAGATAGCATTGGGGCAGCATCGCCCATTCCTGCTTGGCAGCCCACGGGGCACCTCATGGTCCCCTCTTGCCTTCCTGCAAGCTCAGCTAAACCTCAGCGAGAACAGGAGAGACACAGGTATCATCAAGGCAAGAGCAGCAGGGGCACAAAGCTGCTTTACCGAATCAGAGCCAGCACCATGCACAATGCGTGCCCTAGGTCAAAATTCACTGGCCAAACCCACTCAGCTCAACCTGAGACATGAGCAGGAGCTACACTAGGGCTGATAAGCGGCACAGCCAGTGTGTTACTTCTGGGAACAGAGGAGGTGGCTGGGAGTCCTCTCCACGCTCCCATATTCATCTTTGGACGACTCCGGAAGGCATTCATTCAATATTGGCACTTTCAGCTAGAGGCCTACAATCCAGGCTACTGCTCTGAGATCTACAACCTTCTCACTTGAATTTGGAAGGATTTGGTACAACAGTGATGCCCAGAGGGTAAAACCCTCCTTTTTTAAGCTCTGCAGTCTCACAACCGCCAAAACATGATGCTAGATTGCTCCACCAAGCACTAAATGTTGGGACAAGTCCTTCCTCCCCAACAAACACTGCAACCAGCTTCCCTTCAGTCTCCGCTCCTTCGAGAAGGAGAAACGACCATGGAGCCACTGACCTGAGCCCATCAAATGCTCCTCCTGAGCACCAGAGCTGCTTGCAGCCTTCGCAGGTTTCAGGCACTTCTTTGGGACTCTGGCTCGTGACAGCCTACGCACCTCAAGCCAGACCCTGCAACACGCAGTTTCTGCTGAGAACGGCTAAACCTCTCCTTCTGGGGGAAGGATTAAACATCAAGCACTTCGATAACCGGAAATCGGGCGCTGGCACTGGAAGGGTGAGAGCAGCCGGGGTGCTTTGCTCTGCTGGATTCCAGTTATCGGCCCTGCTTAAAAGAAAACAGGGCCCAAAGGAAAAAACTATAGGAGAGATCACAAAAACGTTTTTCAGTTGGAGACAGAAAATCAGCAGCTTTGAGTACCTTATCTCCAAGGTGCAGAAGCATTATTGAGTCTGACCTGAGGATAATGAGAACGACACCGTGACAAGTCACTTGGACAGAGTTTGGTGCTACTGACCCATGAAACACCTCCCTCTGCCATCCGTACCGTGCAAGGGGCTGGAGGCAGCTTTCTAGCACTGCCTGCCATTCCCTGCAGCTTGGGGAAAGGGGCTGGGATAACCTGGCATCTCGTGCTTTTTCCTAGGGAATGCTCTGGCCTCCCCAGGTCCAGCTTCCAGCTCTTAACATAAAAGAACAGCAAACATGCAAAACCTGACTGAGAAGTTCAACTGTACCGCCTTGGACCTGCAGCAATACGTCCCCTCACTCACACGCAGCCTCAGGGACACTGCAGTGAAACTACAGGAGGAGGAGCTCAGCCTAGCGTGAAGCCAGCCTCCAGGACAAGAGCAAGACACCGAGCAGGATTTAGGCGGGGGGGGGCGATGTCTATGGGAAGCCAGTGGGTGTTTAAGGTTCCTCCGTGCCGTGCTCCACTAACAGCATCTGTGCTGCAGACTCATGGAACGGGGCCAGCATTGCCACAGAGATCACAGCAACGAGAGATCTGGCAACCAGCGGACCCAGCACACAACGGAGCAGGGATGAGGGCACCTTCCTAGCTAAGCTGGTAGCACAGCGCTTGTCCTCTCTGCTAGTCAAGTCAGCATGAAGGCTGCTCTCTCCTCTGTGCTGTGACAAGATGCCTGGCCTCTGGTCACATTTGTTAAGCTTGTCATTTCACTGGTGGACCAAAACAACCCTCAGTATCCAAGGACCAGGTACTTCCTTGGGTCCGTTTAGTGCCACAGTGTAAAGCCAGGGCAGCAAGACGTGCAGCAAGCCAGGGTCTGTATCACCCACAGCCTTTCAGCACGTGCTGGTTTTCTGCCGTGTGCCAGGTTTGCACCTCAAAGCTTACAGTACAAGTGCAGGAACACATCATCGCTGGTCAGCCACCTTTGGGATGAAGTCTCAAGTTAGCATCACAACAAGAGATACTCTTTATAGCATCGTTTCCCTCCCCGCCCAGCCCCAGTTTTCTACTGGTAATCCAGACACTGGATAACTTGACAACTGGTACACAGGTACTAGTTTTAAAACCACAGATGTGTGTATTAGATATCATATAAAATATGGTACATCTTTCAGGTGGGAATGATTTCTATAGATACTCTATTTCAGCACAAGGAAGATGCATGTCCCAACTGGTCCTGGAGAACACGGCTGTATACCCCGCTCTGTACGATACTTACACAGGATGCTTGCAAGGAGACAGCGCTGCTCTTCGCCATCCCCACCCCAACGCCCCCTCGGCTGAGCTCTGCGGAGATCACAGGAAGCACCACTGCTGCCTGAGCAGCCCCTCGCACACAGCTACCTCTTTGGTTTTCTTTCCTCTGAGCCGATCTGAGTCCTACATCACCACTGCCAAAATCACATCCCCATCTGTGTAGGGCCCTGACGGCTGAGAAGCAGCAACGGGTGACGTCCGTGGGTCACCACAGACGAGTCGCCCTGCTCCTCCCTGAGCTTTCTCTGGGTCTGAGGTGAGTGCAAAGGGCCATATCCTGAGACTCCTACTCTTGCCAGCTCCAACCGCACAAAAAGGCACTTAAAGAAAAGAAAAAAAAAAACCCTGCGGTGAGGAAAAAAGGGAATGTAAGTCTAGGAGATCAGAGGAGGAATGGACCACGGAGAACAATGCCGAACAAGCGGCCGATGCCTCTTTAAATGGAGCCCAAGACCAGCAAGCCTTGCTCCCTGCCATGTCCCCAGGCGTAGCCAACTCCCACCCACCGCAGGGTGCAGCTCTCCTCTCCAACAGCTGAAAGGCTCCCAAACTTGGCTCGCTTTGCTCCTTAAAGGACAAATAATGGTAGCGTTGAGCCTGAGAACGGATAAGCCTGTGTGGGAAGCACTGCTGCTCCGTGCCAGGTCACAGCATCAGCCTGGGCCCTGGTTGGGCTGGAGCAGGAGTGGGCGTGCACGGGGCAGAAAAGAGCACGAGAGGGAGCTATATGCGAATAAAGGTTTGAAGTAGAAGGGGTAAGACCTGCCCCATGCAGCCGTTAGGTGTAACTGGAGGCTCTCCAGCCATGCCAGCTTTTGGGGTCCCCTCATCTCTTTGCGCAGCCCTGCACTGCACCACAGCCCACACCCTTCCTCTCTGCTGACATCCCTCATCCGGACCTTCACCCGGCTTGCGGATACCCCGGTCCTGAGCTCTTCTGGGACAAAAGCCTTCAACTGCACATGGATTTTAGGGAGTAGACAAATAGGGAATAAAACAACAAGCACTTTATAAACTCTGGGTGCTCTGAGCTTGGGGTCTACAGAGAAGACAATGTTGGTTTGCTAAGCTCCCCCCGAGCCCCTCTCCACTCAGAGCTAGAGTGCTTCATATGATCTCCATGTCACCAGAGTCAGTCTTGTTTGGAGAACGATTCTCATTGGAAAGCAAGAACATTCCTTCACTCTTCACAAAGGTTTGCCAATACACACAATCAAAAAAAAAAATCATAGTTACAACAGATTCAGGTTCATTTCATTTAAAGGAAGTTCAACCAACAGGAGTGTAAAAGTTATAATTCACAGTTATGCATTTAAGATATTAGTGTTGAAAAACCTCACTTCAAAGAACTTTTGTGCAAAATTGTATTGACAGTAGAAACCACAGCTAGCGCCCTCCCAGCCCCCCAAGCCAACAGGTCATCATCTGCCCCTCTCTGCCTGTACCTGGAGGCAGATGGACAAGGCGAACAACGAAGGCAGTAGGAGTTGACAAACGAAGATGCAGTATCCTTCCTACAAGTCAAAGCCCTGCCAAGGTCTGAGGTCAAGTCTAGCAATTCCCAAAGCCATCGGCTCGTGCCCTGTACCATAGCAATGACTGACAGCTCTGCCACGCGTACACGTGGCACTGCGGCACAAAATCCAGCATCTGAGTCCACCTGAATGCAGACAGGCAACCAGCAAGCCAGAGAAACCAGACCTGCCCTGGCAGGACACCTCCTGCATTGGTACAGATGCAGAAGCCATGGCACTTCCACTACAGTGAGGAAGGCCAAGACCCTGCATTTGCAAACACTGTCCAGAGTCTCAGAAATAATCCTGAGCCGGGTACAGGGCTCCTCTATTTATGTTGGTTCCCACCACAAGGGCTGGGAACCCCTTTCGTCTGTTCAACAGTAAAACTGTAAATACCCTGAGAACAGGGAGACTGGATTTTTCCCCCTCTGTGGAGAGGACCATGCCCTGCTCTTCAAGCTAATTAGTAGTAGCAGCTCCTAACCCCTCTGGGTCAGGTACATATTTTCCATATGAAACACATCTATAATCAACTATTTTTATGGAAATTATTACACTTTCCATTATTGGAACTGTACAAATGACGAAAAAGAGTCATGCAAAAATTGCCTGCAAATTTTAGAACAGTGCAGCACAAGCAGAAGCAGGAGGTATTTGCTTTGGGATCACACGGCTTTGGTTGGAAAAATAGGCTTTTTTTTTTTTTTAAATGGAAACAGACACTAAAACAAATCCACAACCTGACATAAGAAGCAGAAGTCAGACGAGTGAGCAACCTCATCCCAGAGAGCAAGCTGCCTTGACTTGAGCCTTCCCTTCTTTGGCAGGGCTGACAAGATGGATACTGCATCTCAGGTTCACCACCGTGTCAAACGCTTTTAACAAACTTTTACATTCAGCAACACTAGATAAAAAGTGGGGAGGCAAGTCACTCGCCCTGCAAGGACAAACGCTGTAACATCTCACCGCTTTGCTCTGTGAGAAAGGTGCAATACTAGCAGTTCTCCAGGAAGGAGCAGGGCTGAGATCAGCTTGGGCTGATGCCGAGCTGTGCGCTCTCAGGCTGTTGCACACATCCAGGGGTGAACGTGGCCAGCCAGTGTGGCCAGGCGCACATCAGACTGAGGCTGGAGATTAAGGAAGCGTTTTTAGACGGGAAAAGTCATGATTCAAAAAAGTTAATAAATGCTAAACACGAGAGCGAAGTTTGAGGGCCGGGCTTGCTTGTCGCTCAGCGCACATGTTCGATACTGTGGAATTTCTATGCCCTCTTGTGGGGACTTCACCCTTACAGACTGCTGCCCCTTCCCAGAAAGAAAGGGCATCGTTTCCTGTGCTGGCTCTCTCAGCCAGCAGGCCTGCAGGGTCCATCTGCGGCCATTTTTAGAGAGGAGAGCAAAAATTAGGGCTGCTTCCTGAAGCCGAGAGAGAGAGAGAAAGCGTGACACATGCACACAAAATCTGCTCTAAAGCCACACATGCCAATTTCCTGCAGGGAGTTGCTGCAGCAAAATATTGCACCTTTCCAGCAAACACTTGCAAAGAGAGACCACGGGAACTCATGGGCAAGTGCCTGCCCCAAACAGAAAGCAGGAGAGATGTGCCACAGGACACAGAGAGCTCTGGCAGTTGCATTTGGGACTGGGGGTTTCTTTGAGGGTCAGATGAGATTATCTGAGTGTAAAGAAAGGAAGGGAAATGCTGCATAATCAGGGCCATGGAACAGTCTCAAACCAGAAACCACAATGCCTCATTTGTCCATCTCTCCAGAACCTAATACTAAGGACAATGTTCATATTCGGTTTGAGACAGCACTGGAAGGGGAGATGATCAGGAGAAGGGGGGGGGTGTCTTTTACATTTAAGGACCCGACTGGGACCTAAACTCCTTTTGAGGGAGTGAAGAATGCCAACGTGTGATGCACAACTGCCAAAGGGTACGTCTCTCTTGCACCCAGTCCACATGCAGGTGTTCAGAGTGGAGGAACCGTTTTCTGCTGCCCGACACAGGCTGTCCTGCAGGAGCAGCAGCCTGGTGGGGGGGGTCTCTGTTCGGCTACCATGGTAATCCCTAAAACGGCCTTTAAAAGGAGAGAGAGAAAGAAGGAAATACACTGAATCCTCTCAAAGGAAGGAATGTGGCTGGGGAACAGCCTGGAAGCGAACCTCTCCGAATCCCTGAAGTGCAATACACTCGCGTCTGGAAAGTTGTGTCAGTTCTTGGAGAGGACAGGATGGTCCCGACTCCTCAGCAGAGCCCATCCTTGCACTGGCAGAGGTTTACTGTCACCTGGAGGATGCACTTTGGGCAGAACTGTAGCAGCATCTTTTCTGTTAACACTAGAGATTTAAGGGGGGAACAGGGGCTGTTGTTCTCTCTGTTACTTAACAAAGTCTGTTGTGGCCAAGGGAGCCGTGCACAGACTGTTACGGCACGTGGCCATTTAAAGTTTGTCATTTTAGGGTGCACAGAGTTAACTTAATGATGCAATTCTCAGGAACATCAAAGGAAAATCATCCAGTTACACCACTGTGGAAAACTACCCCTGGCTTTCATTTCACGAGACTGCAGTTTCGCTAATTAATCCCTTCCACCCAGTATCATCTTCAACATGCACAAAGTTTTTGGAGGTTACAAAACTAAGCGTAACAATGCTTGTGTCTGTTTTACAAAGAAACCTTCTGAAATTTGAGAGAACATTAAATATCAAAAAAACCACTCCTTCCCTGAAACTTAACTGGAAGAATGCAGTGATACTCATCCCTTGACCCTCCAGGTGGCTGAAACCAGAGGTTCCCTGAAGCTTGCTCGTTCTTAGGAGACAAACACATACAAGTACCGGTTACTAACTTCTTCAACAGGGCAACAAAAAGAACCAGAGAGAGGTGAAAAGAGGTCTAAGGACATTGGAGCCAATTCACAAAACCACAACAGAGCTTACTTCAGGTTGGGGAGGGACAGAAACAATTTAAAACTCTGCAAAATACTTTTTAAAAACATGATCTCTCTTGAAAAAATAATCGGAGCAGTTTTTACACTTCTCCATATGTGTTTGAGGAGGAAAAACCCAACAAGGGTGTAAAATACAGATAAAAATAAACATGATTCTACTTTGCAAGAAGTATTTTCATCGTTCTCAAGGGTAGCTCACCATTCCCAAAGTACGCTTGGGGCTTTAGTCTCTCTATCTTGCTCTTTGCTCCTTTCTTCCTGTTTCTTCCGCTTCTGCTCCCTCAACGGACGCAAAAGTCTTTGGTCTCAGAACACTGGATGCAGCACAGTGTTGCAAGCACATACTAACGGTGTTCACACTCAGGGAGGAGGCAGGAAGGAGCGAGGACTGGTCCTGCTGAGGAGATGGGATGGGTGGGTTGTAGGGAGTCAGCTCCTAGATAGCTCCTTCACTGTGCATACTGTGGTTGGGCTTGTTGTGAGTCACACAAACCGTCATGCAGCTCCGTAAGAGTCAGTTCGATTTTAGTGTTTTCACTGTCCGAGGACTGAGGTGTTTTGTCCATCCGGGATGCCATCAGGGCATTTTGGTACTGCTGTCTTGAGATCTGCTCCAAGCACAGAAGGAAGGAACAAAAACAGCCAGTCACACTTTTGTCTCCTCCATGGGACACATTAAGAAAATGAAGTCCTCCTCTCCTTTCCAGATGGCCACACTTAAACCCGTGTTTACCGGAGATCAGCTCCACTTCTACAAAATATCCCTGTGTTTTGCAAGCCTATAACACCTCAACTCAATGACACGGCATGGTGACGTTTCCACAGACAGGATGGAAGCGCAGAGCTATGCAATCACCATGCTATTCAAAGTCAGGGATTTATTCCTGTGCAGAGAGTTTAAAATCAGATCTCCCTTTCCTTCTAATCGCTCACATTTTTAGGGGCTGAACCAGAGCCCAGTGAAGTCAGAGGGGAAGAGCTTTACTGCTCTGGCCTAGGCCGGCAAATGCAGCAGGACCTAGAGCCTTATCCTCATACATAAGGCATTTGATTCTAATAAAGACTAGGATCTCTACAGAGACAAGACCAAATTAGCTACCTGTAAAGTCTTCAACTGGTCTCTCTGAGAGCCAGCTGCACTCAGCAGAAGAATCGTAACAGGAGCTGGCATAGAGCACGCAGCCTGTCAATACTGCCCGCGTTGCGTCAGAGGCAAGGAAGCCCATAGTCCCCTATTGCTGAATACAGGGGTAGACGGGGGAATTCTTCCCGAACCAGCAGTGTACACTCCTCTGGGTTAGCCTTCGCAGCCAGGACAGGCAACAGGATGTACATGCACTGGCAGCCCCACATGCTAGAAGGTCACCTCAGCATGCAGGAAGATGGAAGAGCTTAAGTGAGTCCTTTAGAAAACCATAAGCTTCAGTAGCAACACAGCAGAAGGAATGAAAATGGAGAGAATCAGATGGACCAAGTCACAGCTTCCAAGGCAAAATCCAAACATGCACAAGCAGATCACAGCCCTGGCTTAAAAGGTATTAATTGAATAAACGCCCGTGTGGCACAATGAAAACACTCATGTTGACTACTCTATCCTATGCATGAAGCAAGGTGACACAAAAAAAGGTGTTCAAGTCTGATTGCAGAGACACCAGACACAGTTTAGCATTCATTAGCCTCCGTATGAACACAGCGAGAGTTGGAAGGACTCCACACAAACTAGCACAAGATGAGCAGCCGCTCTGTACAGCAGACGGGCCATTCAAATCTGTAGTGAGACTTGGTAATAGTAGTTCAGCTCTAGATCAGCTTGTCCAGTAATAAATATGCACTGGTCTAAACCTCGAAGACTTGAATCATCGATGAGTACACTCTGTCAAATTTGTAATGCAAGACTGTACTCTCCTTTTAAAATGTGGCTGCCTGTAGATATGCAACAATCCATTTGGTATCTCAGGATTTCTTCTCTATTCCATATATTTCTAATATTGAATTAACTTTGACAGAAGCTGAGTGCCCAGATCATTTGAGTTGCATACAAAGAAAACGTGCACCTGCACTTTCCTTAAGAGAGGCATCAAGGTCAATCTCTGGCCATGGGACATCAGCTTCCCTGGACTCCCAGCGGGGCTGGAATCGCTGCCAGCATTAGCTGTCCCTCAGCTCAGCTAGCTTTCCTCATCCCACAGGACTCACACACATTTCAGTGTGGGATGCACCATGCCAGGGGACAGAGCTGTATTCATGCAGCAACTCACTGGTATTATGAGACACGAGCCTAACATGTGAAGTTAAGATAAAGATAAATGTCCAAGATTTCTCCAAGCAGAAGAAGGAGGACAAGTCGGAAAGTAAGATCAAGAACCCCAAACTGAAATCAAAATCAAAAGTGAATAAAAACTGCATCCAACGCAAAACATCTCGTCCTTTAGGAAATGACACTGTCCGCTAATGAAAGGTTTCCATTTTGGATGACTCCAAAGACTTCACAAGGATACATCTCTCACGACTAAAAGCACAGAAAGCGCATTTTCTATAAATTTTCCTTGGAGGACCGGGAATCCAGGAACTTATATGACCAACCTACTTACAGTCCTAAAGGAGAGGAACAGGGAAGACAGAAACCAACGGAGAGCAGATATTTGGCAAAGGAATTTAAAGCGATTTTAAAATGGGCTGCCGCTTTCATAATCCTATCTGCTCACAGTGCTACAGGAACCTCCCTTCCGCCTCCCTTTAAGCCCAGCTTTTCAGCAGGGCCTTGCCAGCTCTTTTCCTACCTTGACAAACTGAATGTCTGTGAGTGCTTTCACTGAGTAGTCCGGGACATATACTTGCAGAAAAGATGCATTCAGTTGGTTGTTGCTGCTCCCTAACGTTGGTGTCACTGCATCGATGCGATCACTTCGGTTTAAAGAGTCTGAGTGATTCAAGCCACAGGGCCGAGGTGGAGACTTGTTTTCAGCTGAGAAACAGGCAAGAGGGAGAGAATTCTTAAATTAAGTAGAAAACATTTAAAGTCATCAGTTTCAAAGGGACGTAATAAATCATGATGCAACACAGAAGATCTGTAAATGCTTAATCTACTTATAACAAGACATGTAGGCTCAACAACCAAATTACCCTGAGAAAAGTACATTTTGAATCCAGAGCCGGTAGCTGACATCACTGAGTACGGTTTCAACAAACCTGGCTTTTGTTTGTACTACAACAGAAGAGGCACTATGCACAGTTGGTCACAGTGGTTCAGCTGCTGCCTGGTAATTGTCAGAGAAAAGTAACTTCCCAAGGCTCTTGAGCTCTTGATCGTCAGATCACGCTCAATAGATTCATTTTTCTTAACGATTTATAATCGTGCCACCAGCACCAGACCTTTCAGTCACAGAGTCAGTCCCAGCTAACCTTTATCCCCATTATACATTTTATTCCATCTGGTACCTATATCTACTATCTTGTTTTCCGGATTAGACCAGATACTTTTTCAAAAGTGTAAGAACGGTGAGTGATAGAGTCCTCAATGGACCAAAGTGTCCCTTGCACAGTCCACATGATAATTATTTCAATGCTTCCTCTAGTACCTGTCAGTCCTTGAAACTTGAAGGATGAAAAACTCAATGAAGGCGAGCAAGCTCCATGCGGTACATGCCAGCCAGCAAAACAGGGAAAATAGCCCATGCTACAGAGAAAAACGTGTGTCCAGGAAAGATATGGACAATTAAGGAGTAAAAGCAGAGACATCATTTTCCGTCGATGGCCTGTAAGCACCACAGGGTTTCACTTACCAACTGAAATCTTGCAGCTATCCAGAGCAGTGACCGGCCACAGTTTTTCTACGGTAAACGTGCTTTCAGCAAGCCACAAACATTTTGTATGTCTAGCTTCTGCCCATGCAGTGACCCAGAAAGTCAGGAGGGCAGGCAGAAATGCATCCTAAAAGAGACCCCAAGCCTTTCTGCAGATGAGCTTCTCTCTGGATGCACATACAGTGCATACCAATCGAAGAGCTGTCTTTGGGACTGGTGAATTATTAGATATTACTGCAGTTAAATTTCATCCATCCAGCTCATACTGAAACTTGACACAAGCTATACTACTCACTGTGTGATCCACATTCTGCACTGAAAGATCATTTTCGTATAACCTTTAGATACGAAGCCTCTTTGAGCAAGTCAGCAACAGTATCCTTGTAAGCTTTTCAACTTCTTTTTTGATGACTTTTCAATATAGAAACTTAGGTCTTAAAAAAAAAAAAAAAAAGAAAAAAAAGAAAAAAAGACTCCCAAAATTCAACCCTACCTTCGTCACTTAATCACTATAAACATAATTGCTCCTTGCCAAAGGGACACAGCCTGTTCTATGTCCAGCCTTTCATAAACTTAACATTTAGATACTTCCAGGTGCACAACAGAATTGCCCAACTTTTTATATACAGGCTCTGACAACCTGGCAAATTTTCTGGCATTTCTGCACTACGAGGAATTAGTGCAGGTCCCTCTGGTAACACCAAGTACAGGCTTAGACGTAAGCACTGGGAGCTCTGCAGTGGTGCCCCTTGATACCAACTAGCCACCTGGAAAGCCACAGTACGCTGCAATAGCTGCTGCCAGGAACTAAACTTCTACCTGCGTTTGAAACTTGGGCTTGAAACGTGGTCACAACTAGAGATGCGGTAATTCTCACCGGAGAACAAATAAGTGTGAAGACGGAATGAATTTGTGCTGTCTTTCCACCTGCATACACAAAATATGGCTCTGCGTGACAAGCATCACTGCTATTTGGGATAGATTTCCATCTGAAACAGCTTTACATTTGCCTGACTTGGATCTGCACTCTCTCTTCACCCGGGGTCTTACAGTACATTACTGATAAAAACAAAGGAGGACAGAGAGCAACATGACAAAGCTTCTTAAAAAAAGCAAGGGACAGATGGAACAAAAGGACAGAACAAAAGAGCACGACTACAGAAAATCTGAGGGAAAGGACATTGCTTCTGGACCCATGTACGAGTCAGGGAGGGAGAGGAAGAACGTTAATGAAGAAGGGAAGATACAGAAAGAGCAGGAGGCAGGAGCAGTACCAGGCAGGTCCACATTGGCAGAACAGCGCCCTGCCAGTCCCCTAGCAGGCCAGCTCAGATCCGGACAGATCTTTTCTACCCGGGTTTCCCCATCTTCCTCAACTTCCTATACACGGGATAAAGAGCAGAAACCACAAGGCAACCATCAAGACAACCACGTCATGTATTTTAGGTAAAGCAACAGGGTCCTTTTCAGAAGGATCCAGCACAAGGTCCAAGTTTCATCGTACCACATGCAAGCTGACGTTCACCTACTGCATCCATTGCCATGGTGACCAGGGTTACTATATCTGTTTCTTTCAAATAAGATATTCTCCCCATTATTATTGTCCATAATTGATTTTTTTTTTTTGGTTGGGGAAAAAAACAAAAAGCTAGGAAAATATGCTTGGCATTTATACTGGGAACAATTTGCACGTGCAAGGTGTACACTTCCTCTGTAGAATGGAAAAGAAAAGAAAAGGACCTGGCAAAATGAAAGAACCAGGCTAAAAAAGATAATCAAAGCCGCTGAGTTTAAAAGAAAGCCATCAGATACTTTTTAATTAAAGAAAGATTAAATTTCTCCCCCGTCTTTCAAGTTTAGCAGCAGGAAACTTTAACAGGACATGAAAAAAATCCCCTGCAGAGCAACAACCTGTAGTTTGGTTGGAATGCGCATGAGACCAGTTTAAGGACTGATGGTGAAATACATTTTCAAAACTGAAAAAGGAAGAGAAGAAAAAATATAGGGAGCAGATGGTGAAAGTTTATGAAATGTACAGTATGTACTAACGTTTAGGAGTTGTTTCACTTCAATATGCATATAATTATCTTTTTTGTTTTTAGGTCCAGGAAGACACATTCATCTGAAAATGAAAACTTCAAAAGGAAGAAATACGTTCAGTGGGGCCCAAACTATTTTAGGATTCTGCTGTTCCTGTATACTTTCTTGTGTGGTTTCCATTCTTCTCAACTACACTGTGCATGCACAGTGTCTGCAAAGCTCAGTTCTTGACCCAATTTCCAACCATTCAACCACACCTTGGAGCTCGTTTTGGTCCAATTTGTTCTCTCCTTGGCATTACCCCCATAAAGGGGCTTTCTATGTCAGTCAACTCAATTATTCAACAGAAAATGTCTTGAGCAAAAAATGGAACCAACTCCCCCCCCACCCCAGGAGCTCCTACACCTTCTTGCATATTCCATTGCAAATCTGACCCCTCTGTAAACCACTGTGCAGGTCCACAGCATTAACCTCCTTGAAAGGAAATTCAAAGCTTTTGAGCATTTGAAATGATCAGACTGCATACAAGTGGTAGACTTTATCACCTGTTTGAATATAAAAACTCTTTTATTAAACAAGTTCCTCTTTCACAGCTGTTTAGCAGCAGATACTCTCTTTTGCTACATGCATTTAACTTTTTAATCTCAGCTTGGGGGAGGATATTAAAATCTCCCCTCCTAATATTTCACCAGTGTACGTGTGCGAACCAATAACAAGTGCACATTACCATATATATTCTCTTAAACATATTTTTAGTTCTCTCCCTTTTGACGACTCTGTCACGTTGCTACTAGTTAGTCATAAATAAAAGTTCAGGATACCTACCTGCGAGGTATAATTCTGTGCTGGACTTCTCCCTAACGAGCAAAGGGGTCAGATAAATACAGACTGCGACTGACTTTTTATGGCATCAGGGCAGTCACAAGAACGGTGAAAATAGAAGCATGCGGATTTACCTGGAGAACCTGCTGCTAACAACTCTGTTCTGCTGACAACAAAGGTACGAGACAGGGACAAGGGAACTAGAAGAGGGAGAGAAAAAGGATGAGATCACGACCAGAAAGGCGGCAGCTATCCACGCTTGACAGGGGAAGGAGCCAATTCACACACTGAAGAACTAAAATCAAAAGTGCAAATCAACTGTGGAAAAGTAAAGGGTTAAAAACCAACCAAACAAAAAGACAATCAAACAATTTTAGAAATAAATAAAAAGAAACCAAGCCTGCAGAATTACACAGTGAAGCGAACAATTTTCACTCGCTAATTTGAATGGTCATCCAGCACAGAACCGTTTATCAAGGTATACTCCTTTTAAAAATAGTTGAAAGGAGCAGTGGTGCCCACTCCAGCCTGGAAGGCAAAGAGTTAAAACAAGTCAGAAGGCTTTTATGGGTGCAGTTCCTAATAGGAGTAAAACAGAGATAGAAACAAAACCAAGGCAGACTTTATAGTTCATCAAGTTTTCAGTAGGCCATCAAGTGAGGTTGTGATTTTCCAAGCTCATCCTTGTTCAGAAGGGTTACAGGACTGCTAATTATTACTGTAAATCCCTCCCCAGCTGCAGTTTAAAAAAAGGCTTCACTAATTTCTTTTTTTTTTTTTCTCTCTCCCCAAAACATGCTTTAATCTCCTGTTACTGACTTCATAACCCAGTGGGGAGAGCAGGCACACAGAGTCTAATTAGGAAACAGGGAAGAACAGGAGTTTTCTCTTGTTCTGCAAAGGTTTACACTTTAACTGAGCTTTCATGTCGGTCTAACCCAGAACAACAAGACTTACTTCATTTTTTATGAGCTCATCCTAACAGAAATTTCAGGATGCTGTAAGACATCATAAAACAAACTCTCTGAAATCGGGGGGAAAAGCCAGCAAAATGGCTTGCTACTTGCAAAAAACAACTGATTGTAGGGAACAAAATCCAGGGTTAGCAGAGATTAATCTAAAATAATGCCTATGCTTACGCCTGACATGACAAAATCCAAGACAGGTTTCAGGGCAGAGACATGCAAAGGGACCTCACAGGACTGGGAGCAACTGGCAGGGCTGCAGGGATGGTTAGCAACATGAGGGGAAAAAAAAACACTGAAACATTCAAAATGAATAGTGCTCGCAAAAAAAAAAAAAAGGCAGCTATAAACGATTTCCAAGAATAGGTCAGGCAGGAGCAGTCATGTTCAACCCAGCTCTGCAACTGGCCTGCTGAGCAAAAGCTGGGCTTCAAAGCTGAGGGAAAAGCAAGGGTATGATACACTTGTACACACACACGCGTTCATCCCAGGTACCACTGCTATTGCACAGGTAAAATCCTTCCAGTGGTCTGCACACTTCCAAACCTGTCAAACCTCAAAAGGCGTAACCAAGACTAACCTAACTGAAGCGCATGTACTCCTGAAACAATTAGTCTTGTCTTTAGACAGGAGCTCCTAACAGAGATCCAGCAGAACAGTAAAAGGGCAGCACAGAGCTGATGAGCTAGACCTCAGCCATCAGAGAGGACTGCTTTTGCTTGTAGAGTTTACTCTAATAAAGCTATATTCATAACTTATTTACAAAATAATTCTTATTCCAAAGGTACCACAAGCCATTCACAAAAGTATATTTAAATATGTACACATACATAAAGAGAGTGCTCCTGAACCTCCCGGAAAAACAAGCTGCCTCCCAAGTGGAACAAAAGAGCTGTTGTGCCTCTGACACAGGAGAAACAGATTTTGGCATGAGAAACTTGCTCCCAGAAGCCGAACACGGGACTTCAGGTGAGCAGACTGCCAATGACAGCACTGACGCCCCGGTCTCCCGAACGGGACTCTGGGTTCCTGATCAAGATCAAGATCTTGGAGATCTAAAAGGCAACGCTGCCAGCTCCAAAATACATGACTAGGCATCACAGTGAGGGCAGAGAGACCACGCTGGCCAGCTGTGTCACCCACCAGATCACTAGCACCACTGCCTGCAGCACATGGAGCTTTCCTGGAGGAAGGCTGTTAAAGCACCGTTAGCCCAGCACCTCTCAGCTTGTGGGATAGGGCAAAACCGCAGCTTGAGGTGACACAGCTGTAAAGGAACAGTTAAGGAGTACTGAAGTGTATTCTTTGCTGATTATAAAGCAATCCTCCAACACGTATCTGTGGGATGGTGGCTTGTGACACTACTGTTTGTGCCCTGGGAATTTGCTCACATCTCAGACTTAGCCACAAACTCTCCCCCCTTGCTGACTTCTCAGTTACATTTTTGCACAAACTGGCAGGAGTGATCTCTTTTCCTTGCGCTGTTGCTCTCGTTTTCTCAAGATGGCTTTAGAAACAATGGTAAAACAAACTGTAGTCAAACTAACGGGTTGTTTGTATTTCATACCACTAGATGTCCCCCTGCAACTAATTACTTATTCCTATTAATTCAATCCCTAGTATGCTGCTATGAGGAAAAAAAAACCCCAAAGCTGTCATCCCACACCAAATCACTCACTAAGGCCAGCGTTCACATCCGCTTGGAGCTCACAAGCTGGCAAACTTGTGAGAGCTGCTCAGGTTTCAGAGGTAGCACTGCCACCAGCCTCAGCCCCTGCCACGGATGCGATGCCAGGCAGGCTGTTTCGCTAGCAAGGAGGAATTGCTTACGTCGGCCCCGCGACATGCCGCGGGGTAAGCCCTGCGCGGCCTCCTCCCGCTGCACTCACCCCAGCAGGTAGGCTTGTGCGCAAGGGCGATCCAGAGGCAGAAGGTCAGAGAACATACCTGGCGATGCTGTCAGGGCCATCACCCCATAGTAGGAAAAAGCACCAGCTTCAAACTTCATCCCCTCTTTCCCAGCCTCCACTTCCACTTTCCCCTGTTAAGGAAAAGGAGAGAGAGCTGCAATTAAATGGGACCATAGAGGCACGAGACCAGACTTGAGCCCTGAAAGCTAGCTTTGCCTGGTAGCGTCAATGTCCCTGCAGTTTGTAATGGTGCCTGAAAAGGGAGAGTGCAAAACTCCTGTTCCCTGAGCTATTCTAGCTTTGGGTTGCCCACGGCTGGTGCTAGTCCCTGCAGAGGAGCGGGGTCACCACAGCAGCTCTGCATGGCACTATTGCCCCGCTCCGTATGCTGCCAGGCTGCTTTCCCTCAAGCCAGGGAACAAATATTCCTCCCAGTATCACAGCAAGCTTCCACGTCTGGAGACACCTAGCACTCCAAGCCATGGCGCACGTTCACATGAAGGCCGCTTTAACACAAACACCAGAAACAGCAACGGGAGACAACGAGTGAGGAGCTTGTCTGCTTTCACCAATGAGACTCCCACAGAAACAAAGCCCTTGTTCCTGAAGTAGCAGGCTCAGGGCTATTTTGGTTTTGCTGCTTTCTAGCAGTTTTACAGATGCCATGGCCTGGAGCTGATCCTGCTCTTTTGCAGAGTCTTGTCTAGAAGGACCTTCCAGTGCTTCTCAAGCTATACAAAACCACACTACCACGCAAACGCAGCCATTCCGGATGTGGGCTGAGGCAAGTATTTAACATCGTATAATATCATACAAAGGAATCTAGAACATAAACTACTTTATCAAATGTAGCTGTAAACATCCCAGTTACTTTGGTATACCAATAGACAAAAATAATTGGCTTCTTAGTGGGACCTGGCTTTTATTTCCATCCTTACTGGTACTGCACTGAGTGTTGCAGTACACTACTGCAGAAAGAAACTGCATGCAACACTCAGGGTGAAGGACAGAAAGGTTGGGATTTTAGGCAAATCACATAACCACCTGCAATGCTTTCCCTCTGGCTAGGCTGGAAAGCAGAGACAGGCTGCCAGTCCCATGTGTACTGAGTAGACTGACCTCCAAATGGACAGAGTCAGGTCAAAATGAGTCCAAAAGGTGAATTCTCTTTCTATGCATTTGTTGTATTAAAAGCTATTTTAAATAACTAACCATGCCTTTGACTTCACAGCACTGCACTGGGGCAGAAAAATCTGAAAATGAAATCAACCTGGAAGAGACTTGAAACCAAGCTAGTTTGTCCGACCGTCCCAGAAGAGAAAAAGCTCACCAAAGCTATCTAACAGGAATAGAGCGTCTAGCTCACAAATCCACTTTTCTGATATCACAAGCAATCACTTCACTTAATCCAATTTCACTCCACAACACAAATAAGTAGCTTATTTGTTCATTATAAGCCTTCCAAAAGATACTATCTAGTCATCAAAGACTGGTTGTAGACAGGGCTCTCAATCTACTTATCCTCAGTATTCGCCAGTCAGGATCAGGTCTTCAAAATACATACACATGTAAGCTTTGATCTTCACGAACACTCACTCTGAAGTTAGTAGCTAAACACTTACAAATGAGTAATTAGCCGCAGAACAGACCCTCAGTTCCAGGACTATTACTCCATCAGCACAGAAAACTTCCAGGCTCCCTGGCTATGGCCATATAAAGACTGGGTACGGGTGGCACTGCCTTGGCAGCTGAAGAGCTGATAGCAGAATGCCCCACGCATACCATTAGATGTGCTCTACCCTGTTTTACGTGTCCATGGTCTCTGTTTTTCCACTGTTTATTTCATTTTTTTACTGTTCTCCACTAATATGAATTTTGAAAAAACACAATAACAAAACCAAACCTCAAACTGCTACATAAGAACTACTCAGTGGCTAAGAGTAAGCTTTTGCAAACAGGTGATGTTTCAGCTAAAACAGTAACAGTACAAAGATTAAATTGGTATATTTCATGCACAGAAGACCTATTTACTTGTGTTCTGGCTTGCTTTTACTGTGAAGATATTCTGGCGTCTCCAGGTGACAGACTAAATCCCCAAAGCAGACTGTTTAAGCAACAAAAGCAGAGTTTTTATCCCCTTTGGATCTTGCAGAACCAAACTTGTTACCATTTTTACAGTATGTGCCTACTGCAAGACTCACTTTTCCAAATGCATTACAGAACTAGCACATTAGTTTTGCTAATCACATATTAATTCATTACTGACTGTTCTTTTGTATCATACATGCCCTTCATTTATATCTTTGCAGCAGTGCTTCATTCAGGAGTATTATCTTGCCTCCAGAGTATTTCAGGCTGCAAAAATCCAGTACAAAAGGAAGGGCAGTCAAAGAGCTACCACCGGCTCCTGGAACACTTCAAAAAACAATCCTTTTAAACAAGTTGTACACTGAATGCACACTGTCATATTTTGGTGCTTTCTTCATTATTTATCACTGAGGGCATTTAAAAACAAAAAAGCTTCCTCCATTTTTCTTTTTTTTTTAATTTTTAAGGTCATGTTAAGGGAGATTTCAAGTACTGCGTTACAACTTCAGCTATTTTTGTTTTCTCTCAAATCAAAACTCATTTCAGTTTATCCAGGTTAGAACTATAAAATCTGTCCAGCAATATTCCTCTTAAAGGACTATTCCTGCACAAAAGGTGCTTGAAGGAAATTAAGTTTTTGTGTAAAGCTCAACCTAGC